TAACACAGGGAGATATTCCTTTTCGAAAGCAGATTTGCCCATTGCTTGTTCTGCCGTGTTTAGACTCCCATGCGAAAAGCTTATGGCCGGAGTGGACGGTTTTTGCCAAACAGGTTTGTCTAACGTGGCCAACAGTATTTTCTTAATCTACGCGTCTACTGAAATCACCTGTGCCCAGAAGACAGTGCATTTATTTCTTACGTAGACGTGTTATGCTACCCCCATTATGCGTCGAAGCCAACGCTGCTGTACATAGTTTTGGTGTTACGTCTCAAACAGGCCCAGAATGTCGCATCCATTTATTTGTTAGCCAGTGGGTTATTTGCTTATTTGAGTTTCTCTGTTTAACGTTGGACAGTTGTATGTGCCAGTATTTTGTCGACAGTCTCAAACAGACGACCTTGAATGTCATTGTTTCTTGCAGCACGATAGATGTGTAGACTGACATCGACAAAGAAACTTTCTCTGACTGCTTGTAACCATCTCTTAGCGTTTTGTCGCGTCACGACGACACAACTGTCGTAGGCGACCTCACGCTAAGGTGGACGCCTTGTACTTCACATGGCCAGGCGTATTCGACCCTCAACTTATTGACAATGTTAATAACAACGGCAAACGTCTGTTAAGCATTTGCGATGTAAATAGGTTAATCGTCTGCCGTACCTTTTACTTATAAGCGTATTCACCAGAGCACCTGATGAATGCTTGGATGAATGCCTGAGCACCTAGCTGTACCAGTTTCTCGTCACCCATAAAAGGAATGGCTCGTTATTCGAGATTTGCGTTGGCCATGACACCTGCGCAAGGTTGTTCGATCATCACGTGGTCGTAGCAGAACTTCATCTGAAATTTTTCCTTGTCCCTTTAACATCATCTGATTGAAACACGGCACTTGCAACATGTTGAGAATCTAGGAACGATAGGATGAATAGGTTTTGTCGGCTTATCAAATGGAGACGGAGCGATATTCTAATGCTATCCATAGTACCCCAGTCGAAAGTGGCATTGTCGATGAAGCTTACAAAGATTTCAAGGAAGCCGTTACCTTGGAAAAAAGGGTAGTTTGGTTAGAAAGAGAATGGCCAAACAGCCCTGGATTATGGAGAGCGCCCTAACTTTTAGAAGACAAAGGAATCACACAAATAAGAAGTACTTTCAAAGCTTTTTTGCACCTTGACTGTAGTTCCTCGTCGTCTCGTTCGTCAGTCAACCAAAACTATAAGCGGGACACGAAACTTTGGTTGGAGTAAAAAACCGCGACGATCGATAAGGAAAGCATAAAGGGTGAGTGGCGAACAGTTAAAATGGAATGGATACTACAGTTGTCCGGTAGACAAGGGACTTAGTTTGGACTTATCCAAAACGCTGAAGGTGTCTCACTGGCAGGTTAGAAAGAAAGCCTGAATGTGTGGTCAGAATTTCCAGCAGCTGCTCCATGACTGCCCTCCAGATTAGTAATTTTTGACTGAAAATTTACTGCCATCAGTAGGTGTTAGTACGAATTTACCCAGAAAGCGTAGTGATATCTCAAGGTGAGAACAGACGTCGAGGTGAAACGAATTCCTTCATGGTTACTTAAATATTTAGGAGCACCTGCGGTCAAAAGCTCCATGCCGTGTTTCATCAAACGTGGACTTACAAACGTTTCTCAAGAGAATGGAAGTATTGAGTAACTGTTCCTATAATTAAGGGCAGTCCGGTGATAAGAGTTCCAAATATCTCGGTATCGGATTACTGGCTGCTCCCGGGAAACTTTTCTCCTGGATTTTGCTGAGAAGGTTGAGGCAAGAGACTGTCATAATCAAGAAAGCTTCTGGATGGGATGCTCCTTCTTGATCAAATTTTCACTCTGCGTAGGAGCAAAACGGACGATTGCAGATGCCTTGGATTACTAGTTTTCTCTACTTTAAGGCTGCATTTGACTTAGCACATCGTTCGACGATGTGAAAAATCATAAATTGCTGTTGGAACATCATTTGTTTTAGAACAAATGTATGCAGGGATCATGGCTGCTGTCAAAATCGAAGGAGCGCTGTTTGAATGGTTACCAATTAACCGCAGAGTTCGCGAGCGAAGCCTGTTTTCGCCTTTGCTGTTCGGTATTGTATTCTGTTTTCTTCCCGTTAGATTGCTTACCCTGGTAAAAATACGTCTTAGTCTAGAGGAAAGGTGCCTATCTTGTAGCTGACTGGCGTTTTCCGCAAACAACTATACGTCATCAACGAGCCAGATGTTGCTGACTTGTAAACCATTGATGTTATTAAAAACCCTTCCAGTTCCTCCTGCAGAACACCATTTCCAAGCAAACAGAGGAAAGTTTGCGAGTGGTAGTGTCCCATTGTTTGACACCGTTCTGTGCTGGAATCCGGAGGGATGTTTGTGAAGCAAAGTTCGCTTTTGCTGGCCGGTCGATGTGATGGGTGTCGATGCTGTGTTCTGCCAATACGGCCCATATTGCGTTGTATTTGATAGTGTCGAACTCTTTGTCGTAGTCTGCGAAAGAACAGGAATTCCCTGGCATGCTCGAGGATTTAACGTAACGTAAACACATTATCAGTTGTGTTGTAGCTCCTTCTGAATCATGCCTGTTCACCTGGATGCTGTTCGTTCAGACTGGTTAACTGTCTTTTGGCAATGATCTTAGGGAACAACTTGTGGACTCTAGTGAGAAAAGGCATATTAGGCAATAGTTTTTCAGATCTTCCTTCTCGTCCTTCTTGAACAACACCATTGCTTTGTACTCCTCTCTTGAAGGTATTTTTTCCATTTCCTGGTGACAACTGAACCTCTGTGCGAGGGCCTTCCACAGCGCCTAATTGCCTGCTTTTATCATACAGTGCGTATCCATCCGTTCATTTGTTCTGCGGCATGCCGAACTTCGCTAATGAGGAACAGGATTGCATTTTCTT